CACGCACACACACGCACACACGCACACACACACACACACACACACACACGCACACAGCCCTGCTGTGCAGCGGCACCTCTTCTTCATTGCTCTCCACTCAGGTGCACACCCTGCTGTCTCCACATCACCCTTCCCTCAGCCACCGCTGCCTGAAAAGATCCCCTTTTGGTCCCCAGAAGCCTTTCTCTCTTCTCTCTGCCCTCCCCCGTCCTCTCCACCTCCCCAGATCTGACCCAATGGTCACGGAGTCACAGAGCCTGGGTGGAAGGGACTTTCAACTTTAGCTCCTCCAGCCCCTTAGAAGGCATCCCCCGGGGAGAGAATGACTGGCTGCATAAAGCCTAGTACAGACCCTGCCACAGAGCAGGCCGTCTGCATACATCCCTTCCCCGTGAAATCTCTTTATCAATGTTCGTGTAGGTATCACACTCCCACTCTACATATACAGGCATTATCGCTCAACGAGGTCACAGTGAGTCCCAAGATTCACACACCCATGCGCCTCCAAGGGACTGAGCCAGATTCAAACCCAGGCCCATCTGGCTTAAGACCTTCCAGGTTGCCTCCATGCTAGACCTTAACTTGAGGACAAACCTCAGTTCTTCTCCATGAAATAACTCTTCTCACCTGTAAGACTGGTGCAGAGCATTTGAATACCTCCAACATCACTGTCCCCAAAGGCGGGGGTGGGGGGGGGGGACACACCAAACTCCTCTTCTCCTGGACTTGAACTCAGGGCTACTTGGACACAGGAATTCCAGCGCCAGTGTCAGAACCCAGGCCTTTGAGTGGGATCGGACAGAAAGAAGACCCGCCCTTCCTTGGGGGTCTCTGGACGTTAGAGGGTTTCAGAGGAATCCTGGCAGCTTCCTTTACCCGCATAATCCTACTGGGACATCCAAAAACCCCAAGACAGAGTAAAACCAAGAGTTCAAAAAAGAACACCCATTCCACGGAGGCCCCAACAGCAGGTCCCAGATTCTCAGACAGTTGATGGAAAGAGATGTTGGCAAAGGAGCCCCCAGGATACAACAGCGTCCCTCTCCAAGTCCCTGGTGAGGCATAGGCTAAGAGGAGGGCCACCCAGAGTTCTTGCCCCACACTTGTGAGTTCTCCACCAAAGCACAGAGAAGGGACACTCATATGCCCAGCAGGGTGTGTGGCTGTGGGGAAAGGCTGCCCATCTCATTCCAGACAATCCTACAGAATGGTGGCTTTAGGAACGTTGTAAAACTAGACCATCAGCACAGGGTCTTGGATCCTGAAGCCAGGATGTCCCTGTCAGTATACCACAGGTGATTTCTATATGCCCACATCTGATCCCTTAGCCCATAGGCCAGGGGGCGGGAGGTAGAGGGTGCTGTGTCCTTAGCTCCAAGCTAGTTAAGCAGCGTCTTCTCCCCAACCTAGTATGTTGCACAGTTTTATCATTGTCTAATGAGAAGGAAGTCGGGAAGCATTGGGCAAAGCAGCAGAGCGACTTGCCCAGCGTCCCACAGCTGATTTGCAGCAGAGTCTGCAGGACAACCCTGGTCTCGCAGGTCTAGCCTCCTGTCTGCCATACCCCCTCCCTTGACCCGCTTGGTTGCCTGATGGTGGGGCCACCAGGTGGGGGCAGTTGGACCACACCTCGATAAGCACCACAATCTCTCCCTATAGGCCTATCAGCAGCACCCCACTAGGACTGCTCTGGGTGGACCAGTCATCAGGGGTTTCTCATTGGGAGCTGACATGCAGCCCAGAGGCTCCCTCTCCCAGTGGACAGTGTCCAGGAGCACAAGGACGGAGGGCGGCGTGGGGCGCAGTTATCTCTGGGCTTCGGGTAACAGCGCTGTTCAGTGAGCTTCAGGCTGAGTAATTTCCTCATTTGTCTTGTCAACATCCTTGTCCCGCAGAGTGTCAAGTCCATTAAGTAAAGATTTTCTGCTAGCAAGACACTTAAATGTGACTCCAGGAAGCAGCAGGGGCCTGGCCTAAGGTGAGGGCCTGTGATCTCGAATGGTCAGAAGACAGGGCAAACGTTATTTATTTACTAAAGGTAAGCCCAGCAGCACCTGCCCGGGCATTCATTCCCAGCTGATAGCAACACTATTGTTGGGTAGCAAATGGGTGCATCCAGGTCCACCAAAGCATCCACATGCCAACGATGTTCTGAAACGACATCTCAGACCCAGGACACTGAGTCAAAAGGAGTGGAACACGGTGGGTTTCTATACAGGACCTGTCAGAAAATCTGAGCATGGAGGATCAGGTATCTGTACTAGATGGGACTTCAGTCTGTCTGCTGCCTTGTCCAGCCCCAGAAGGTGGACAAGACTTACAGACAGAGTCATGATGGGAGCCTGTTTCTGAACCTCTTGGAGGGGTAGGATGGGAAGGGGCCAGGGCAGACGCTTCACCATATCATTCACCCCCACAACCCCCTCACCACCACCAAGACCCAAAGGCCTGTCCAGATGACTACCGTCTGTCCATGGGTCCAAGATTTCTCCCACTGGGGCAGACACTCTGATCCCACCTCAATCCCGGAGGGCATGCACCTTCAGCATGGGCAACGTCAGCCTCAAGAGAGCAGGAATTGGTTCTCAGGTGGGCATAAAAAGGGTAAAGGATGGGGGGGACCAGACCCCAACTAAAAACATGTGAAACTGTTCACTACAAAGGAGTAAGTAAGCATATGTAAGTCTGCGCTTACCATGCTAGTTGGGTAACCCAACCCAGGCGAAGCCCCTCCCTGTACCCTAAGCAGGAAGTGGCTATCCTCAGCCCACAGATAGCTCCCAGCAGCCCAAAGGAACAAAGCCACAGAGGAAAATCCCCAAAGCGCACTTCTTCCTTTCCACGGAGTGTGGCAGGCAGACCCAGAGCTCTACCTGGATCCTCCTCGTGTCCCAGAGCAGGCCAGGTGCCGAGAGGGACTCCCTCCCAGCTCTCCCTCAGAGTGATGGAGACTAGAACCCTCAGGAGAGGAAGAAGGCTGGGAGGGGAAACCCAGGGCCCAGTGAACTAACAGGCGAATGTCACCAACCCCAGCTAATGACTCTGCATGGCTTATAATACGCCGACTCATTTTTCCCTCACACCGATCCAACGAGGTAGGTGCCACTAGTCTCTCCTGCCTCGTAACTAAGGAGCGTGAGGAGCAGGGAAGTGAAGAACTGGACCAATGAATGTAGAAAGGCTCCCAAGCAGAAGAGCCAGGGGACCAGAGAGAAGCACGCAGCAGGGCAAGATGGGCGACACATCAGATTTCAGACTCAAGAACCTCCTACATGACAGGCATCATGCTGCCTCGTTTCCATAAATGCTCGATGCCACACAGCACCGGGAGAGGTCCGTGTCATGGTCTCACTGCACAGATCTGCCTCAGAAACCTGGAAGACTGGTAGTCAAAGTAAAGCCAGAGGAAGTCCGCAGGGCCCAAGCCCAAGCCCACGCCCAGAGCTCTAGCTGCCACCTGGACGAGAGGCGAGCCTCGGGGGCTCCGGGCTGACAGGTGAGGTCACACCACACCACACCTACCTGAGAAGATTGAGGCAAGCCTGAAGATGTCTGAGAGGCGGGAGGTGACCGGCTCATACGGTGAGGCTTCGTAAAACTCCTCACCTGAAAGAGAGAACCGGCATTAGACACTGGCCCGAAGCCCGTCAGAACAGTATGAACACCTGTCCACGGCACCCTGGGGCCACAAAGCAAAGCGACTGGTGGGAACTTCCACTTCTGGGCCCCGTGCTGTAAAAGGCAGCGGTAGGTGGGGAAGCCTGTCCCCAAGTGGAACGTGCTATACAAGTTAAGAGAGACTTAGCTAACATTCCATATGGGAAGGAAGGTTTTGTTTGTTTGTTTCTCTACAACTAGAGGAGGGGTTCCCCCAGAACAGGTTACCACCAACCCAGTTTGTATGATGGAATTCCCTGCCTGGCCAGCCCCTTCTCCGGACTTCCTGGTACTCAGGAAAGAAGGCACAGGAGAGGAAGAACAATGAGACCCCGTGGGTGGCCAGGTGCAACACACAAGATGGGTGCCTGAAGAGCCCTCCAAAGTAACCTGGCACGAATTCCTCATTCTGTAGGGCAGAGATCAGGGGAGCTCGCAGAGGTAGAGCCGCCTGCCTGAGATGGCACAGCTGTTTGCGGGGGAGCCCCTGACTCTGGCATATACGCTCTCCTACCCCACCCCACCCCACTTTCTCTGCCCAGGCCACCTGTCTCACTGCCACCAACCCCATCCCAGCCCCTGGGAACCTTCTCGGACAGCAGAGAACTGCCCCCGTGAGTTTCTGAGAGGGAGTCCAAGACTGTCCAATCTTCACAGGAGTGGAAAGCCTCATCTCTCTCCCACAGCGTGGCTGGTGATTTTGAACGGCCCATCTTGCAGTGAGCAACCCGACCGGCCACACCACCCAGCCGCTGAAGGAGGCAGTGTAGCCTCTGTTTCGCTTTCAGTCACGTCACCAGGTGCATCTGCCCTGAGAGGTGCATCTGCTGCCTGAGAGGCCTGCTCCCCAGCTCCTGTCTGCCCGGCCCCTCCTCCCACAAGCCTCCTCTGTCCTCCGCACGTGCCTGCAGCTTATCAGACCTTCTTCTCCTGACTTGGGGGTACCTTGGACGCTCAGGAAAGGCAAAGGCAAGTGAATGACAGGAGATGAATAGTACAGCAGGCTGCCCTGGAGACCCACCACCACCACCACCACCACCACCACTTCATAGGGAATCCTGCTCCCTCTGCCAAGACCGCAACACAGCAGGAAATATCCTCTGGAGACGATGCCGTGAGGAGAAATCAATGGATAATCACTTAGACTGTGCCTGTGTGCTGAGGAGGTGGGGGAGACAGGTATGACCCACAGCCTCACACATTGATCTTCCATCTCCTCAGAGCTCAGCGTCTACGAACCAGCAGACTGCTGGGGTGTACCTGCGGGAAGAGGAGTGGCCGTGCACCCTCCTGTGAGAGGCTCCTTCAGCCAGGCCCTTGGGATCACCAGGGTCTGCCACTTGAGATGTCCTCTGTTGCGTCCCACATCAAGGAGTGTCTGCCTGCCCGGCATTCTCCCCGAAAAAGGGCCAGGCCCCAGAGGGCAGTGAGCGCGTGCTTGCCCCCGTGGAGAAATGGCTTCTGCCCCTTCCTTACAGAGCACTCTTTGTGCTCCCAATGGCCAGCACAGCAGGCACCCGGCTAGCATTTGCCCATTCAAATGCTACTCACTCGTTAAAGCCAGTCTCCACCCCCACCTTCTCCCTGGGGCTTTGGGGGCCACCACAGGCTGAACAATCTCCTCGATGATGGCACTTATACACTCGGGAGCAATTCCTTCAGGGGTGGGTGGTTACCATCAATGACCGTCTGTTGGGGCTGAGTGTACTTGTCTGTGCAAATGCATTGCCTTAGGGAGCCACGGTGACAATGGAAATAACGCTATACCCCTCTGTGAGCTATACTAGCATTCCATATGCTACTGAAAGCACTATTGAAAATCTGTTAGACATATCACTTCATTGAATCCTCAAATGCTCAGTGTCCTAGGTTCGACTCTTTTCTGTTCTTTCATTTTATTTTTTAGATTTATTGTTAGTTGGGAGTTAATACGTAGATCATACCATCCCACAGTTCAATCACGTCAAGCAGTGTTGTACACTTGCTACCACAATCAGATTTCAAACGTTCGTTTCCTTTCTGGACTCCTTGGCATCGGCTCCCTTTTACCTCCCCCCGCCCCACCCCTACTGCCCCCACCCTGCCCCCAAACCCTTGTGTTACTTGCTCTCTCTGTAGGTTCATCAGTCCTGAGCTGCAGACACCACAAAACAGAGCAGCACATCACACAGCTTCAAGAGGGTGACCTCCAATGACATAGCACCTCTGAGGGACACCTGATGCCAGTTGTACTGGTAAGGGACTGAGACACTAGAGAATCTGCCCACGGCCACACAGCTGTTAAGTGGGTCAGTCCGAATTTAAACCCGGACCACCGCAGCTCAGAGTCCAAATGCTTAACCACAAGACTACTATCTCCAAAATATACAAAGTGTTACTGGGCTGAAGCTGCTCTTAGACACTGTTGGTGTTGAGCTTCTCCCGGGTCAAGCCTTCTCCTGCCTAGGAGCGTGTGTCCTTCCAGCCTGCATCTAGTGTCTCACTACACGTGGGAACAGGGAGGGCCGCATGGTTGACGTCACTAAAGGGAGTCCGGCAAACTGTGGCCCCAGAGCCACATGCGGCTCTTTTGCTTCGTACCTGTGGCTCTGAAGTAAAATTGAAAAAAGTTTAAAGGATATTATTCAGATCACGGTGCTTTCATTGTAAAAATAAATTTATGGCTGTTGGGTATTTTTTAAATTGTTGTGAGGGACCGAATTGAGTGCCTCTTCCATCTCAAAAGTTTGCCTATCCCCGGACTAACGGTTCTGGGAAGGTAAAGCTCACTTCCAAGGCCCTTTTGGCAAACCCATCCTCTCTAAGTCAACACACATCAACCCCGCCTGCAGCAAGCTTCACCAGTGGGAAATCTTGAAGTCAAGGCCACTCGGGAGGCCCAGCAGCCAAGATGACGCCAGATCCGGGATGTCCAATTCCAAGGGCACCCCCCTAGGAAGGACTTGTGGGAGGGGCCTAGGCTCCTGGTGTTCACAGGAGCAGGCTAGTCCTGAATGTCGGTGTCACCAAGCAATAGGTCTCTAATACCCCGCGCAGCAGAGAGCGACAGCCACATTGCGTAAATCCTGCTGCTGGTGGTGGTGGCAATGACATGGGAGGAAGACAAACCCTAGGCCATAAGGTCTTCCTCGGGTCAGTGAAAAGGTATCTGGATAAGGAGTTGGGGAAGCCTGGGTTTCACCCTGGATTTGGCCACCAGCTGGCTGTGTGGGCCTAGACACACCACTCCACCTCCCTGCACCTTCCGCCTCTCCATCAAACAAGAGGACTGGGACCAAATGATCCCTGGCACGTTGGCAGTTTGTCACATCTTCTGAGGCCACACTTCTGCCACAACCCACTCCTTCCAACCCAGGGCCACCCACCAGCCCTTTCACACATGCTGAGCAGCTCCAAGTGGGGACCAGGAATCTAGCCTTAGAGACAGCACGTGGAGGAATGCCCAACAGGGACTTGCCTATCAGCAGAGGACAAGAAAAGACCAAGAGTCGGAAGAAAAATCCAAAGCTGCGCCAACCTCTCTTCTCAACAACCCTTCCTCTCCCCTCTGCACCAAGCCCGGAGCCAGGCTATGAAGTGTGAATAAAGAATAGGAAGGGAGTCCTGGCAGCCATCCCTCCCCCATGAAGGACACTGCTCAACCCTGACGGTGGATAATTAATTCTTAGCTAGACCCTGGCACTAACAGGAGCGTTACTTCTGTCCAAAGGCCCCCTGGTTCCCCCTCCTCAGCTCTGGGAATGAACTACCTCTGGACCCCAAGACCTGGTCAGAGAGGGTTACAGGATCTCCCAGACAAAGAGGCAAGCTTCTGGGGAAGGGGAAAGACAGGTGGTCTGCTTTTCTAATGGGGGGCCTAGGAGAAATGTCTCCCAGCCTGTAAGCTGGCCTGCGTGTTGGCTGCATCTCTTCATTCATAGTAGATACTTAGCAGGGGGGTGGACTAAATAAAGGAATGAATCCTCTCCAGCCAGGCATCCCCTAGACCAGTGGTTCTCAACCTTCCTCATGCCACGACCCTTTAGTACAGTTCCTTATGCTGTGGTGACGCCCCCAACCACAAAATTATCTTCGTTGCTACTTCATCACTGTCATTTTGCTACTGTTATGAATCAGGCAACCCCTGAGAAAGGGTCATTCAACCCCCAAAGGGGTTGCGACCCACAGGTTGAAAACCGCTGCCCTAGACACGAGGTTGAAACCAAACCAAGAGCTCATTGTCACGGAGTCAGTTCCAATCCATCATAATCCCATGGGCTACAGATAAAACCACTCCACGGCCTCTTCAGATCCTGAGGTCTTTAGGAGAAGAGCATCAGGCTTGGTAAAGTTGGCAAAAAAAGAAGAAGGAAGATCCTGGATGAAACGGACACCATGACTTAAGGATGGGCTCAGTGGCCTCAGCCAAAGGAATGGTGGTAGGATGCAGGAGGACTGGGCAGTGTTTCCGTCGGCTACGCATTGGTTCACCACGAGTCAGAACTGACTTGACGGCCGCTCCCGACAACGTCCATCTTTACAGCAGCGGATCTCGAAGACTCTTCCACGGAGCCATTGGGTGGTCTGACAGCCAACTTGTAGAGGAGTAGAGTCAAGTGCAAGTGCCACCTGGGACCTTCCTGGATTGAACGCGCTGTGAAACCGATGGAGCGGTGTACAGCCCAAGTGCTGAGGTGTCGTGCTGCTCGTGACTGTAGGATCATCTCAGTCCTGAACGGCGCTCCGAGGCAAGGATACAGGAGGGAGCCACTGAGCTGTGTTTGGGGTAAAAAGCCCAGCCTCCCCACCCAGCTTTGCAAGCTGGTATTGGCTGGGAGCAAATCCACCCAACCTGTTGCCCATGCTCCTTTGGGCGGCTAGAAAAACAAGCACAACTCAGCTCACCTGAGCCAGGAGCCTTCATTGTTAGCACAACAGAGTCAGGCGCTCAGGGAGGGCAGCACCAGGTCTCGTGTAGAATAGGACAGTATTTCCCTCTAGGGAACTGGAGCGACTAGAAATGGGAGAAGTGGCCGCCTGACCCGTGAAGAATTACTACAGTGTGAATGGCGGTAAGGTTATTAGCAGATGTACTTCCTATCCCTAATACTCAGACCGTATTTGAGCCATCTTGGCCCCCAATCAGAGATCCCTCTCTCCTGCCGCCAGGCCTGCAGTACCCTCTCAGTGGGCTCCTTCCTTGCCAGCACCACGAGGAAATGCTGCTCCTCTGACCTAAAGCCCATCTCTCCCCATGCCCTAGGTCCACTCTTTCCTGGTCCCAAAGGTACTGTTCCACAGAATAGTCCCCTTTCTCCTCCACCTGAAAATCTCCATCTCTCCTGTCCCTCCTTCAGAATGTAAATGGCTCCAGCCACTCCTATCTTTAAGAATATATAAGTCACCCCTCGTTATTGTCCCCTCTTTGTGCCATGGTTCTAGGAGTTGTCCGGACTCTTCACTCCCGATTCCCTGGTTCCTCAGCCAGGCTTCTACTGCCGTCGGTCACCTGTGAAGCTCTCCCCAAGGGCAGTGAGGGCACGTCCCCTGCTTCAGTCCATCTCCTGCTTGACCTGGACGTGCTCCATGCTGTGGACATGCTTTCCTGCCAAGGATCCGCTCACCCCTGTCCTCCGACCTCTCTCCAGTGCCGGCTCCCTCCGTCATCCTTGCAGGCCTCCTGCCTCCATCATCCCTCCAAAGTCGGGTGATCCTCAGGGTCCTGTCTACTCTCCTCCCCCTCCTGACGTCACCCACTCCTCCGTTGACTCCAGGCACCATCTGCATGGGGATTTCACCTCCGAAAACTCCGTCATCGCCAGTCCATGTTCCTCACCTGGATTCCAGACTTGCATGTCTAATTGGCTGCAGGGCACATACCCCCCCAAAAAACTCCTCACCTTCCCTCCGTTCCCTCAGTCTCTTCTTGTGAAATGGTACTATCACCCACCAAAGACAGAGCATAGGGTGCCCTCTCTGAGGTCACTTTGAGGACCCGTTGGTGCCGCCTCGTAAATAGCTCGTTGATCCAGCTTCTCCTCTGCCCACCCCTGTTCTGCTCGGCCGCAATCACTGCAGAGGTGGTCTCCAGACAGTTCCTCTGACAGGCCTGCTCCACTGGAATGGGATCGTTCCTTCCGAAGCACAGGTCTGATCATCCCACATCTGAGGTGGTCACATCCGAACCTCTTGCTTTAACTTTCAAGGCTCCCTACTGTCAACCACATACTGTGCCCCGTTCCCCGCTTCTCCTCACTCCATCGCCACTTCCAGTCCCACCCTCTACTCATATTGAGTTTCTTCCTGTTGTGTGAACAGGGTTGACTCTCTCTCATCCAAGGCTTGGCCAGGCTAGTCCCTCTACCTCACACAGCTTGGAGATCACCTCTTCGGAGAAGGCTTCTTGAACTTCCCAAGGAAGGGTGCCATGGCCCTCCGTTGGGTTCCCAAAGCACCCCGTGGCTTCTCCATGACAGCACACACACCACTGAACTACAGAAGCCTCTTACTTATCTGCATCCCCGGGCAAAGGCGCCGCATAGCTTGTTCTCCGCCGTTCCCACAACGCCTCGAGGTAAATTCTCAGTGACTATTAGTTGAATTAATAAATATGCACCTTTGCAGAAAGCTGCAGATGACAATCAAAGCCCCAACCCCATTTGAAGGATCCCCTGTGTGGATTAAGCCTCTGGTGAACCCCCTCTGACGATGGCCCCGAGATGGGAAAGGTCTTGTTACCAGACAGAGCACGCCGTAGGGTGAATCACTGGGGTTGAAGTTAGACCAAAAGGGGGTTATACCTTGTCATTGAGCTCCCTCCTGCTCCAATGTCGAATTGCTCCAGTTTTTCATATTTTCTGCTTTGTTCTCGACTGAGGTTTTTCTTGGTTTCATTCTGTCCTCTTGGTGTGGCCATCTGTTTGTATTTTGCCCTGACTGTGTATGATTTTCTCTATAGGAAACCTATACGCACAACTACTGGACTGATCGGTCCAAAGGGTTGTGGCAGGGGAAACTGGTAGGAAATGCAGAGCCAATAGTATGAGGGAGAAGAAATGTCCCAGAATTTATGCTGGTGACGACTGCACAGCTTTTATGAATATGATTGAACTATTAAAACATGTAACATTTGAGTTGTATGTCAGTGAAATTATTAAAAATAAACTAAGTTTATGTTTTTTAATAAATACATGCGCTCTCGGTGAGGAAGGAAGTAGATAGTGTGGGGGTGTCACTAGGGGAGGGATTGACAGGATTCTGCCTTGGGCTGTGGAGGCAGGTGCATCAGGAGACGTGGGGCTTGTTGTCCACACGCAACTCAAAGGCCTGCAGCAGCCAAGGAATCTGAATGCTGTCTGAAAGGAGGCAAGAGCAGGAGGAACAGGCGCAGGACAGCCAGCCCCTTGCCTGGGCTCTGAGGGCAGCCCTGTGCAGCGTGATTTGCACACACATGAGCTGCCCCATCTCTCGTCCCTGTTCTCACTTCCCCCTGGCCTGGTTACTCCTGCCCCACCCTCTGCCACTGTCCCACTGCACCTTTGCTGTCCTTCCTCTTCCCCAGCCCCTACTTATTTCCCCATTTCTCTAGCCGCCCACCCTCCTCATCCCGCCACCTGGCCCTCTCCGACGTTCTCGCTGCCCCTCTGCCTCTTTGTCCTCCTTGGCCTTCTATGACCATGGTGGCTACCCTCCATCAGGTGGCTACACCTCATGAGTCTGGGAGCTCCTGGTGGTAGAGAGCTGACTACTTCATTGCATCCCATGGCCACGTCCAGCCTCGGAACCTCTGGCCCACCTCGGTCTGCCTCCCCCTCTGAGGTCCCACGCAGACTTACCCTCGGTCAGCCCCAGGTGGATGCTCCAGTAGATCTGCAAGCACTGCACCTCCTTCTTCATGCCCCGCTTGCAGCGGCAGTCATACAGTGGACTCTCCTGCAGGACCTCCAGGGCTGCCTGGCACTCCTTGTTGGCCAGCATGGTGTTGCGGTCCCGGCCTGCCAGGCACTGCCGCAGTGTACGGTAGCGGGAGCTGCAGTTGGATTCAGCTGCGCACAGCTCATTGGCCCGGACACAGTCCACTGGGGGGCGCCAGCCGTGGAGCTCGGGGCCCTGCAGGGAGGAAGGGCTGGCCAAAGAGCGGAGTGTCTCGTCTGGGTAGTGGGGAGGGAAGACAAGCATGAATGAGGGCCGCCACGATCTCTGACCCAAGATACAGGCCTGGGGGCTTGGACCCTCCTGGGAACTTCACACCCCTTTGATGCCAAGGCACACCAAGGCCAACCGCGCATTGGCTCCCCTACCACAGGGCAGACCAGAGGAAAGGCAGTCGGTGAAAGGAACCCGAGATAACAATACCCTTTCCCAAACCCAAAGGAGGACTCAAGCTGTCATTCATCTTGGTTCTAGTACTTCCGCTCCATTGCTCCTTGGCGCTGGCTCTGGGCCTATGAGCACAGTGCGATAAAGCCAGCCAGACTATGGGCTCGGCCTTCACGGGAAAGCACAGAGAGCCTAAGACGCCAAGTCCAAAGAAGATTCCACTGCCTCCGCAGAGAAGCCAGGGGCTGCAGGACTTGCAAGGGAGGGCAAAGGAACAGGACTCGAGGGAATTCTCCCTTTAATACTACCCAGCCCTCCCATAAACCTCAGTTCCAGCCAGAGGCTGGAACACAGCATGCTCAGCCTTGGAACCAGCAGAAAATCATATAACTTTCATAGCCTGGCAGGGCCTCAGAGACCATACAGTCCAGTCCCCGAGGAAACCCAGGCCCAGAGATGGAACTGGCGCTGCGAGGTCATACAAGAGCCCCATGGACGCTTGGCTTCCAGCGAACCCTGGGAAAGGCAGAGCGAGGCCCATGATCTGAGGCATGCCAAGCCCGGTAGGCATCTCCCGATGCTTTGCCCGGGGCTTGCACACCTGGGCGTCCAACTCCACCTCACAGATCTGAACATAGCCTTCCTCTCTCTACACTGCTCCTTTACCTTGTCCCTGTCCCCTGCTTTGCTCTCACTTCTGATCCCCCGCCAGGCCTGTCCACCCACCATGGCCTCTTCTGGTTGAATGCCTTTGCTTTCTCTACCTCCCCTCCTCCTCTCTCTCCTCCGCTTTCTGCTCCCACTGAAAAGCCCTCTCCCCTGTCTCTCCTCTTTCCCCTTCCTTCCAAAGAGCCAGATAATAAACCAACCACCATGGGGAAAGCGCTTCCCTGCTTCAGCCCCTTCCCTCAGACACTCCGCCCCATTTCTCCAAATGGACAAGGACTGATGACCTCACCCTGCTCACCCATTGCCCCCAGAGGGTCCAAACCCACGGGGTTGTGGGGGGCCCGAAGGGAGGGGACTGGGGAAGAAGAAACAGAGGTGAAAGGGCAGGGAGAAGCCCACTTGGTCCTTCCAGGGTCAAGTTCCCAAATGGTTTCATGATTATGCAGACCTCCCCATCCTGGTTTCCCTGCCTTCTCCCACAGTCCCAACTCCTGCCCCTGGACAAGCCCAAGCAGAGACCGGTAGCCTCATCTGGCTTTCCTGAGGCCCAGGGCTTCCACCACTCTATCCACCCTCAAATATGAGATCCTCCAAGGCCAGAGTCCCCTCCTTAGAAGACCGCAGAAGGCACCCCAGCTTCTTCATTCCCTACCCAGAGCCACCACTTCTCATCCATTGCCCCAAGGGGCCCACCCCCACCCCCACCCCACCGCCAGCTCAGGGGAAGCTACCGCAGGGAGACAGCGACACCTACAGGCTGAGCGCAGGGCAGTGAGACTCATTCTAGAGAGAGCCACCATGGGAAAAAGCAAGGGGGGGGGGCGGGCCAAGGGACTAGGGAGGCATACACCACGAAGAGACAGGAGAGCCGGCAGGAGTGGGTCTGTGGTGGAGGAAGCTGCAAGGGTCAAAGCAAAGGATGAAACGTTGTCTTCTCCCCCTGAGCAGGCCTTGTCCCAGAAGAGGAAGAGGTGAAAGACAGAACCAGAGAAGAATCAGCAGCGCTGCGGAGGCACTGGGGGTGGGGCGCCTGGCCCCGCCCTGGCTGGAGAAGTGTCCTCCTGCACAAGCAGAGACTAGCATCTTTATCTCCGGCCTTCAGCAGATTCTTCGGTCCCAAGGCATAAAGCGGCTGCATCTGGGGCACCCAGGAGCAGCTGACACCGGTTCACCTGCACCTGCTGCCACTACTCAGTCTGCTGGAGCCTCCCAAACAGCCCTGCTCCATCCCTCACCAACAAGGCCCTCAGAAGCTACTCTGACCACGACTGAGCCTGAGGCTGGGAAAGCAGGTCTAGCATCCTCCCAGCAAGCTTAAAGGTCAGGACATTCGCCTCAAGGGATGAAGGCCACACAAACACTGTCTGGCATCAGGTGGGGCCCAGAGCCCCAAGGGACGATCTTTACCGATTGCTAGGCTCTCTTAAGAAAAGCGAGGGCTCCCGCAGTCTGTCAGTGGGGAGGGGGAGGAGGGCCACCTGACCATGGGAGCAGATCTGCAGGGGACCAGTGCACCCTTGTACCAAACTGTCCAGCCCCTAGAGCCAACCAAGACCAGTCGGAGGATGGACTCATTGCCACCTGGAGAGGTTCACCAGGAATTCTACGAAAGTAGAGGTCACAAGGATGCTTCCAAGTTCTAGATCAGGAGACAACTTGGACCCCCCCCCCCAAAGAAGACACATGGGGGAACAGCTTCTACAGACACGGGACCCAGTGACTACACAGAGCTGCAACTGCCTCTCCTGTGTCAAATGTCCCCACCAAAGCTGGAAGGCAAAAAAAAATGCAGGTTGTCCCCTATTTTGCTCCCATCCCCCACCTCATTCTCTCCCTGGGTCCTTCATAACTGGAGCTGGGGGTGGCTGGGCAGGAAAGGCCTCTCCCCAGGGGCACATTGAGAACCTCTGCTTCTGGGAAAGCACTTCCCCTTCTCCCAGCCAAAGTCACACCTCTGCAGTTCCAAAAAAGCCTCTTCCCCAAGTGGATTTCCAGTTGGTTCCCAAATAAGGGCTCCCTGCCAAGAAAGAGGCCCTGGGATGGAAGTTTCCCTAATGTCAATCTATTCTTTCCCCTCTCCTGCCCTAAGCCCTGGCCTTCAGCAGCGGGTGGGCGCCCAGTGGCTGCCTTACACTGGGCTTTGGGAAGTGGCTTCTCCCACAGAAGGAGAACGAAGGGAAGGCCTGTGGTCACAGGGGAACACTGCTCCCACCCACTTCTCTCACCCTCAGCCCCTGTGGTCTCGGACAGTGTGTCTTTGTCTTTACCCCCAAAGCAGACACCAGAAAGGCTCTCTCTCTCTGGCTCTCTCTCTCTCTCTCTCTCCTCTCTCTCTCTCTCTCTCTCTCTCTCTCTCTCTCTCTCTCTCTCACACACACACACACACACACACACACACACACACACACACACACACACACACACACACACCACTGCTGTGCATGAGACCCAGCAGTGGGGTCAATTCCTCAGGCCTCTGCAGCTGAGAAACCACAATCTTGGCCCTGTAAGTGACCAAAAGGCCCAGGCTTCCCACCACTCAACCCACTCTGCACCTCGGAAGGCTCACCCACTTAGGAGCCCTGCCTGCCCAGGGTTCTAGGCAGCTCAGCTGCCAGCCACCTTGCTGCTCTGCTTGAAATAAAATTGTCTTTTCACCGTGGTTGTGATCCTTCTTGGCCCCAGAAAGCTGGGTTTTCAAACCAGCATCGGGAGAATAGGTCAGCTCTGGTAATTGCCCCTGCAGATTGAAAGTCCACTTTCCAGAGGGTTGCTGGGGAGGGTTTCAAGACCACTGAGAGCCTGGAGCACCAGCCCAGATTTCTCCCTCAGCCCCTCCCATCCAGGAGGAAAACTACTTCTGGCTCCAGGAGACTGAATGGTGCAGACCACACCCCAAAGCAGGGCCCTACCCCATGGGGTAGAGGGGGGGGGCGGGGCGGGGATAAATGTTCACTTCACTGGGGAGAGAGGATTGGCATCAACACTGAATTAAAATCCGAATCCTGACCCTGGAGCACTTAGAACAGCTCCGGGGACCTTCCGACACCCTCCTGGAGGAGGCAGGAGGGAAATGGTGCACTGGGAGGCCAGCCTGGCTGATGACTGCCCAGCGCAGCACCTACCCGGAGCGGATGTGCTACAACGTCCACACAGAGAACACACACAGACACCCAGTCGTGGCACCGATCCCTCTGTAGCACCGTCCCTGGCAGCAAGCAGCCTCGCCTGGGACTTCTGCACACCACCTTGCAAACACCTCTTTTTCCTCTCCTCCACCTCAAGAATGCTCTCTCTAGCCCCCTGTTTCCCAAATCACTGAGATTTCACGCGGCATCAAAGGAAAGGGGATTTGGGAATTCCAGATGGGAAAGAAGCTGTCCAGGTTTAAGGGGTACTCAAGGCAGCCTGAGGAGAGGGGGGTTGACAAAGCGAGTGGGGGTCTTTTGTCCACATCGGTATTCCTCCCTCTCAACCTCATCTTCCTCGCCTACGGAAGCAAACTTTGGCCTTCCTCGCTGCCCTTCCCTGCGGGAAGAAGAGGCCAGAGAAGGCAGTCTACTCGCCACCCCGTACTCCCACCTGCCAGTCGGGCTGGAGTCTGGGAGGCAGAGAGGGGAAGGTGGGGAAGAAACTTGAAGAGTGTTGGAGGGAGTGGAGCCGCGGGGACGAGCTCTGCGCAGCTGGGGAGAGGGGTGCATTTGCCAGCGGTTGATTGGCAGTGAGAGAACGCCTGCCAGCGCACCCCGCACAGACGTCCAACCGGGATCTTGGGGCAAAATTCGCGTCCAGGATCACAGCCGGATCGACTCAAGGAGCCGACGGGAAAGATGGGAGTGACGTGATTCTCAGTCCCTCCACTCAGCTGCTCCCGTGCCTCTCGTCGAGATCCAGAGTTGGATCCCCCGCCCCTTAAGTTGTCGCAATTTAAACCCATTATATCAAAGGAAATCAGTGCTATCATTTCGTGTGAAGGTGTGCGGGAGTGTGCGCGCGCGCGCGTGTGCGTGAGTGTGCGCAGGGATGATTGGGGTATCTCAAGTCTCCGTCCCAATCCCCCCCACCCACCCACCCCGCATAAGCAGGCAGTCACCGCCCCTGCCATCCCGCCCGCGTCCTCGCAGCCCTAGCTCCTCGGGGTTCAGCATCGCCGGGGTCCGCGGCTGCAGGGGACCTGGCTCCAGCCCGCGCCCTAGCCCGCTGCCCGCTCCCTTCCCGCGTCCCCGGCTTCTCGCCGGCGCTGGAGCGCGCTGCCCACTCTGCCCCCTGGGCTCAGGCGGGCACGCTGCCCCGGCCACCCGCAGGCACTCACCTAAAAAGAAGAAGAAGCCGAAGACGTTTGCCAAGATCATGTTAAATAAATCCCACGGTGCTTCTCCTTTTCCTTCTCCCTCGGATTAAAAATGAGTAAGGACCACAAGAATACTAATAGCCAAGCGGGGATAGTCAGCCCCGAATCCAATGCGGAGATCCCAGGCAGTCCACCGGGCGAAGATCCGGAGTCCTTCGGTTCTCGCCTCGGGCTGGAGGGAGTGGGGTGGAAAGAGGGCGGTGGGCTGCCTCTCGGCGCCCCACTTCCCGGCTAACAGAAACGGTGTGCGTGTACGATGTGTGTGTGGTCGGTGCACGCCAGCAGCTCCGTCCTGAGCGCAGACCTCCGCTCCGCTCGTCCCGGAAGGCGCGAGTCCCCGCGGGTCCGATTCCCCTGCGCTCCCCGGGAGGGGTGGGGGCGGTGGGGCAGAGGCGACGTGCGAGTGAAGGGCTGAAAGCGGAGGCACGGGCGGAGGTCAGAATAAACGGCAAAGAAAAAAAAAAAGAAAGAAAGAAAGAAATCCACCAACGAGTGCTTGAGCCAAGAAACAATCCGGCGGACGTTTGGTGGACGAGCCACGGAAGTCGCTTCTTTCGCACGGGGCCGTAGGAAAAATGGATTTTTTTTACAAGGTCTTCTCGCTCGAACCCTTGCTCGCCTCACTTTGCTTCCAATGGAATTCCAGCCCCCGGCGGTCTCGGCGCGCGCGTCTTCCTCGCTCCTCTCCCTCGCTCTCCTCTCTGCGATCTTTCGCTCTCGCTCTCGCTCTCCCTCGCTCCCTCGCTCGCTCGCCCGCCCTCCCACTTC